AAATATTAAGTTGTTTATAAAAATTATATGTGAACTATTATAATCGGATACAAAGACTAAATAATAAATAAGATATATGATTTTTAAAGTGATTTGGATGTTTAAAGCAAATCCTATATCTACTGCTTCTTTTATATACGAGAGATTACAAGAGGTTACGTAAAGCGAACAGCGAACTAAGGTACAATAACTGATTATTCATAGAGAATATCAAGTCAGTATCTTTTTTGTAGGTTATCGTTGCTTTAAAAATAAAAATTACAATAAGAATGAAAGTTCAATATCAGAATCCCAAAAATAAGAGGGAGAGTTCTCTATTTATAGTTGAGGAATTTAAGGTAATGATTATAAATCTACAAGTGGGTAGATGTCGTGTAAGTCCGTTATTGCCTCTCGCTGACTGATAATTTATGAAATATCCTCAAATTATCTGAGACTTAGACATGTGTGCGGTCCTCAATTATTTATAGACAAAACATAAATCTATTAAGTTGGTGACAATCATATTCTTTTTATCATAGGACAATGTGACAGCTCTTAGACGGAACAAAATCTTTTTGAATTTTGATTGGTACTGTTGAGGTATGCCAATGTGAGCCTTGATTTTTCAGTCACAATTGAACCTGAACTTGCTCAGGCCTTATAGGATGTCTCTTTCTAATGCTCTGTATAACAACTCACCTTCATCTGCATTCAATTCCTATTTGCTCTACTTGACTCAATTTCGATCAAACCTCAATTCATCACACATATATGGTTCTCCATTATGTATATTGTCAGGTAAAAACTGGACTTAAAAGACATAAATCAACTAAATTTTAATTTAATATAAGGGGGCCAAAGTTACGCCTTCTGGACTTAAAGACAGCTCCTAATTAGATAGGCAGAACCTATTTATAAGATGACTAATTATGAGTTATCATGTCACGATTATGAAAAAAAATTTATAAAATTGAATTATAAATATAGTATTATCCCTCTGAAAATTTTTTAAACATGGAAACTGATTTATAATAGGTATTTATTAATTTTGTACATAAATGCTGCTGTTAGTTGTAAATACGAGAGAGTTTTGGGATAAAAACAAATGTTATGGTTGGTTGTAAATATGAGAGAGTTTTGGGATAAGAACAGAGGGAGCGATCGAAAACTGAGAAGTTTGTGTTTGTAACTATAGTGATTGAATGATTAGATTTTTGAGTGTAGAATAGAATAAAATAGAAGCAATCTCTGATTCTTATCGGCTGATAATTCTAGTGTATCAGAGAATTGAGATACGTGTCATTAAAAAAAAGTTTGTGTTTGCGGAGAAACAGCTAAAAACACGCAATACGATAGCACACGGTGATAAACGTCAGGTGATCACATCGTACGGTGAATGATTCAGCAGAAAATCGTGAAATGGGCCCCATTCAATTTCCGAATCCCGAGAGTATGATTCTCTTTGGAACTCGGGGCAAGTGACTTATAGCTGGCAACAACTGACGTGGCTATATTTTTGAAATCCTACGGTTAGGTCGTTAAAGTTTCCAAACCACACTTGCCACATCACTCACTAACCGACAAACTATTGCTAACCCCACAAATAGACCCTACGTGGCTGATCAATGTACATGATTAGCCTACTAGCTGTCGGATATTTGGTGATCATTGATGTGTCCACGTGGCTGCCGATAAGGGTCCCATTCGAAACACAACGGGCCCATCTTAGGACAAATTGAACACGATATTTATGGGTTGGTCTACATCACTTTATGTGGCACACCAATAATTTAAGAGAGAGCATCACACCACCACTACCAACAAGAAAAGTTGTTTGGTTTGGGCCTTCCCTTGGGCCCACTTTATTCATTATTGTGGTCAAAACGCACGTTTTATCTTCTGTTTAATTTACTTTTTAAGTGAAAGCTTCCTAATCATATGGTTTTTACTATGAAGGGAGCCAGCTTTCATTTTCTTTTTTCTTTTATTCCCCTAATTTATAAAATTTCCGCCCAACTTTTTAATTTTCATATCTGTAAATTTCAGACTATTACATTACAATTTTTTATAATTAAAAAAAAAGAACTATTTTAAGATATAATTTGAGTAATCTATTTGGTAATAGTTTGTGATTGCGAAATTGTTTCAATTATACTCTAAGCTTCATGCCTAAGTAAAGTCTTAGTCGAAGTGAGTAATCTCTTTTTTATTTTTATATTACACATATTGTTTAAAAGAGATTGATTGACAGCAGAGATATAGGGCGACCTTTTTGTTATTTGTCAAACTCGTAGGATTTGAAAACCTATCACCTATCAAATAATCACCATTCACCAGCTGTTAACGCAAGCAGTATTGTAAAAGCCTACTGGCTTGTGTATTCTAATCATCATTACCACCACCAGTCAATATGCATTTCCTTTAATTTCTGAAACTTGATTAAGGCTCTGAGCAGTGAAATGATTCAATGATTCAGTGCTCCAACAGCATTATATTAGTGTCAATAAATAATGAGGACTATGTACTTAGTGTGGGGAGAAGAGAATCTATGCGCAGTTTATGCTTTCAATGCCTAATCTTTGATTTAAAATTTAAAATTATTCTTTTCTCACATGTAAATTAATAATCTTCTTATTTCCAATCGGTGGAGGAAAATCACTGATCACCACTTGCAGTTTATTGGGACTTGAAAAGAAAAATGCGAGCCAGTAGGAGGAGGAAGCACCCTTCCTCTTTCTGTACCATGTGCTTTAAGGCAAGCCACTCAAATCCCCTAATCATTTTAAAATTACAGGACTAATCCGTATTTGGTTGTACTTATATGTAAAGTTAACGCTTTTAAATGATGAGTTAGCTAAAGGCATAATTGTGAGAATCCAAAGCATTATTTTGCTTCAAAAAGTTTAGATACACCTTACCAGCGTGCCCATACATGGGACCGATGTGTTGTTTGCAATTAATCTCATGCATGAATCAGGCCAACACTCTAAACCCAAGTACTAACTGCTTCATTACTTAATACATCAATATTGTATTATGTGCAAACAACCCGTGGTTCATGTAACTGTAGGTAAGGGTATGTTACTGCTACTTTAAGCAAGATGGTATTTTTTTTTAATAAAGATTTTTAAGTATATGTTTATTTTTTTATTCAAGCTAACACAAAATAAACGGAAAATATTTATTCACAGATATTTAAAATTAGAAGATCAATGATTTATATAAAGAAAAAACTAAACAAAATAGAAGGGTGACGTGGAACTCAAGTGAGGAGCACACGTGTGGAGGAGTAAGTCACGTGAAGGTGGTTCGAGGAACGTAGCAGTACGGGTAAAGGACAGGACAGAGTTAGGTAAGAGATGTATGCGCGTGGCACGTGAGAGTGGGCTGTGTATGGCCCTTAAGAGTCTCAGACAGCTGTCTCCCTCTCCCGCGTAACGACTGCACGTTGAAAATTGGGAAACCCACATCACCTCTTCCCTCTTTTTCTCCTTTCCGTTTTTATTTCCGTTTTCGTCTTCTTTTTCCGTTTTTTCTGTTTTCTCTTCCCAAACGCAGTCCTACGCATTTTTGTGCCTCTTGATTACTTCATATCTTCTGTTTTCTACTGCTTCACCTGCTCCTATAATTGCAACCAATAATATTGTAATTCCTGCTTCCATTAATTTTAGCTGTTTATAGACCAAATTCCATCCTCTAATAAATGATTTAACTATAAACCTCCAATATACGATGTACCCTGTTATTGATTTGGTCTCCTAACCTAATTGCACTTAATTTCTCTTGCTTGATGCCAAATAAATTAAAATATGTGACCATAAATCATTTGTATGCTACACAACGGCAGCTCTATTCGTTGAGGAGAAATTGAAATTTGAAATATATTTATATGGAAGGCAAATTATTTGGAAATGTTTAGAGTGAGTGAAAAATAATGACGAAACAACTAAGGAAAATGGTGTGAAGAGAAAATGAGTAGTAATAAATAAAGCTGGTAAGACGGTGGAGTCGGTTTTGGCAGTACAGAAAGGAAAGGGATGTTATGACCGACACATGGCGGTGGGTGGGGTGTAGGCCGTTAGAGCCTATAGGTTGAGTATTTTTGAGTGGGCCTATAAGACAGGCTGGACTGACAGGATTGTAGTAGCCTTCAGTCCCCCGATTCTGCTACTTAACTTTGTCGTTTTTGGAGCCAACTCAGCATTTCCGTGCGTCCTTTTCTTTCACGAAATTGCTCTCCAGCCTGGCTTCGGTCAAAGTCATCCCTTCTCTCCCAACCGTACTCTTCATTTGATTTCTTTCCTTTTAATATTTATTTATTTTTAACGATAAGATAAAGATCACTCTCACTCTCTCCTTTTAAACCACCTTGTTTGTTTTTCTGATTTAACTTCTCTCTTACAACTTCCAAAAACTGTAATTGCTGGTATTTTAAAAATATAAAATTAAAAACTGAAAATCAGTTATGGGACCCGTAATTAGTTTCATGTTGATGTGGCGTGATTTTCGTGTGGAATAATACTTCGGAACAAGTATCTCCTAAATTTATTCTCATAACTTTGATATAAAAATTTATAATTGATTAATTTATAATAAATTTTATATAAATCGTATTAATTAATTATAAATTGAATATTATGAACTGCGATATTAAGATTACCAACAAAAAATTGTTATTGTATTATTTATCTTTGTGTGAACGTTGAGGAACTCTGCATTTGTGACAACTGCACGTAAGGCAGTTTTGATGGAGAGTGATTATACGTGTAAGTTGGGTAGACAAGGAGATGACGCGTGTCTATTTGACAGCTGTATGCTAGTAACTGCCTTGCCTGGAAGAATCCTCCACTCTCAACGGCTATCACCGGTCACTATAACCGGTTCATCCAGTTATCCCTATCTCTTTCGTATATATACATCTCTTCATTTCCCCGCTTGTTCTTCTTATCAGACCCAAGGTGAGGCTCAGCCTCCACCACTTTACATCCGAAATCAACCTTCTCTTTCTAGCACACAAAAATTATTTACATTTTCAAATTTCAAATTTCAAATTTTACCCTTTTTCTAGTTTCAAACTTACTTCTAGTTTTTTCTTAAAAATCTTATACCATGGCTTCAACGAGAAAGGATGTGGATCGGATCAAGGGTCCATGGAGCCCTGAAGAAGACGAAGCATTACAAAGGCTGGTTCAAAACTACGGTCCACGAAACTGGTCTTTGATCAGCAAATCGATTCCTGGTCGATCGGGAAAGTCCTGCCGTTTACGGTGGTGCAACCAGCTGTCACCTGAGGTAGAACATCGACCATTCACACCTGAAGAGGACGATACTATTATCCGAGCCCACGCTCGGTTTGGTAACAAGTGGGCTACTATCGCCCGACTTCTAAACGGCCGGACCGATAACGCTATTAAAAATCATTGGAACTCTACATTGAAGAGGAAATGTTCTTCGCTCGGCGATGATTTGAATGAAGATGATAATAATCCCCAACCATTGAAAAGATCGGCTAGTGTTGGGCCGGGTAACAATATTTCGGGACTGTACTTGAACCCGAGTAGCCCATCCGGATCCGAGTTGAGTGATTCCAGTTTGCCTGGTATTCAATCTCCAGTTTACCGGCCATTGTTGAGAACAGGGTCGCTTGCTCCAGTTGAAGCCTCTTCTTCCACAACGGATCCACCCACTTTACTCAGCCTCTCGCTTCCGGGATCTGGATCCGACTCTTGTGAGTTCACAAATAATGGATCTGGATCCTCATCCGGACCCGTTTTGAATTCTAATAATATGGTACAGCCACAGGTGGCACAACCACCTTTGGTACAAAATCATAGTGAAGGTTACGAAAAGCAGTTCTTTAGCACAGAGTTTTTGGAAGTGATGCAAGAGATGATAAGGAAAGAAGTAAGGAATTACATGTCTGGAATTGAACACAATGGACTGTGTATACAGACGGAAGCTATTAGGAATGCTGTGGTGAAGCGTATGGGTATTAGCAAGATCGATTAGAGAGAAACACACTAGTCAATTAATTGATCATCAAACTAGAACACTTCATCAGGGAGATGATAAAATGTGAAGAAAAAAGAAAACTGTCTTTGTTTTTTTGCTTTTTGTTTTAATTAGTCGCTTTATGGTTCCTTCGTCACAGAAAGTAATAATTTTGGTAGTGTACAGAGGGGAAAGACTGGGAATGAAGAAGAGAGGGTTTTGTTGATGAGGCAAAGAGAAGGAAATAATCTCTTTTGAATATAAAAACCAAACAAAATTAAAACATAAGATTTATTTTTGCAGTTACTTTATTTTTCTTTGTTAAATTTAATTGAAGAAGGAAGAAGGACAACCATTTTTGTTTGCATCTATAGAATCGAAATCAAAATTAGACAGTGCTACAAACAAACAAAATTTGGTAAAGGTAATTGAGTGGAACCGTGGAAATTAAAAGCATGTGTGTGAAATACTTTGGGACAAATCATGAAGCTGCACATATATTAGTTAAGTTGGATTACCAAATCCAAATCCAGATCCCTTCAATGCTCAACTTGTTCATGCTTTTTGAGGTAGAAATCAAGAGCAGAGAAATGAAGAAATGCCTCAATGAATAATGTTTTTGTTGGTTGTGCTGATTGGTACCATTTGATAAGGCAGAAAAAAGTGTTTGTAAAGTGAACAGTTGAAACAACCTTAAAAAAGATAAAAAACGTACATACCGCCTTTGACTAGAGTTGGTAAGCAATACTTTTATTTAGGTATCATCAAATATCTAAGACATCTGTGTATAAAAAAGCACAAGATTAAGTATAGCTGTATAGGCGTAAATGCGTTTAATATTCGTGTGAAGGCTTAATGCAAATTGGTATATGAAACACAAAGTCTTTGTCTGTCCATCTTCTTAATTCGTTTTCTTTGCTGACTCCATTTCTGGTTTAAGAAGATTGTTGTATTGAGCTCTTATTTTTCATTATTGTCTGCAGGGGTTTGATGCTCCAATTTAACAATCTCATATGTTAATGTTCACCTCGTTGTCCAACAAGCAACACAAATTGTTTTTTCTTTTAGAATATAATAATGGAAGTGCAACTTTCTCGCATTAAAACACATGAACAAGCTATTTGCTTGCACAAATACCCGGCCCTGAAGGAATATGCATATATTTCAGTATATCTTTAGTTAATATACAGTAAAATCTCTCTATAATCATAATAATGAGGCTAACTAATTTTATTATTATGAAGAAGTTATAATTTAATAGAGTTGTAGTTAAAAAAAGTTCTTATTCTATAATTCATGTTTTAATAGTACAATATTAGGATTTTAATTTATGTTTTAATAATATTAGGATTTTAATTCAACGCTTCAATTCACTACTTTTGAAACGGATAAAAAATCGTGTTTTAAAACTAATAAAGATAAATGTCCTCGATGGAATTGTAAATGTAGTTGCTGCATGGCAGTTGATGTGATTGCCAATTGTTTTAAGCATTATAAAATTATGACACTCGAAGTCAATGGCTCCGTTTGGTTCACAATTTTGTGTTTTTGGGAAAAGTTTTTTGAAAAAAGTTAAAAAAAAGTTGAATTTGGCGGGTATTACGATGTAGGATTTATAAATTGTTAAGATACCCCCTATGTTTGTTTTTTTACAAAACACCCCTTATAATAAAATATTAAAAGTTAACAAAAATACCCCCAATCCACCCTCAAATACGGACAGCAGGCCACCACCGCCGAAGGGTGGCCGGAGTCGCCGTAACAAAAACATTAAAAATATTTAGGGGTATTTAATTGAATTAACAAATTTAAGGGGTTTAAAAAATGTTGAATAAAGTTGAATAATATTGTAAGTTTTTGGGTATTTTATTGTTTAACTTTTTTGAGAATACTAAAAATAGTATTCCCAAAATCCAACCAAACGAAGCCAATAATTGCAAGTTACAAATAAAGTGGACGAGGATAATCAAAGAGTCATTGTAAAATCGAGTAATCAGATTCGACAACTTTACCATACTAATCGAATGAATATTAATGTTTTTCTTAATCATATAAATGAGTAACAAGTCATGCATTAACAAAAGAAGAAATCATTTTTACAATTAAACAAGAAGAGAAAGGAAATAATTATGAAGTTGATAGTACAGCAATACTAAAAGTTTCATGTAAAAAAGCTCGCTTTAACAAGAAAATGTTTATGTTAGCGATAATGTACCTACAAGTTAAAAAATGTAATAACAACTCTAAAACATAAATTATTGTCCCAAATAACTTCAGATAAATATTTTATTTCATCTTAAACCTTTAATGTAACATACCATATATTTTTTTGCAATATACAGATAATTATTACTATGTAGAGACAATTTTTCTTAAGACGAGAATTAGAAAAATTACAACTTATTAAAATGTGGAGTTTATTCTTATTTATAATTATCCTAAATTGAGAATATAATTTTTTATAATTATATATAGTTTATTCTTATATAAAGTATACTATAGAGAGGTTTTACCGTATCATACAAAGATAGATTCTGAAAGAGTATACTTTACACAAACTTTGGAGATGCTTCTTAACATTTCAGAGAAATTCGGTTGATCATTAAATTGAACGTGTTTGGTAGATTTTATTTGAAGGCGCAGACTAATGTATAAACATGCATGCCATGCTTTGTTTAAATCATAAAGAAAGTACAAGCATTCAATTTTTCCTTGCTTCTATTATTACCCCAACATATACAGTAAGCCTCTAAAATATTAATGTTCTTTATTGGGCTGGCCGCTGGCGGTTCATATGGGCAGGTCTTAAGTGACAAAATTGCAGTTCCTTACATTATCCTTTTAACATAGAATCCCCGAAACTACTCATTTCCCTTCCCAATTCGCACAAAAACAGACACCCAAAATTTGTCCAAAAGTATGTTCATTAATTCATTCACTTTCAGTCAATATGAACTGTAGAATTCAAGGGCTACGTATAAAAGCACCAGATTAATTATATTCACTATATATATCTACAGAAATTTAAGATATTGGTTAGATTAATATGCGTCAATATAAAATACCCTGGTCCAGTATGACAGTGTAATGCCATTGACTGTATGTCATATTATAGATAACTGTAATACAGAACTAATGTAAGAGAACGTAAATGAAGGTGCCCAAGAAAGTGACCGTATTAAAGATAAAAAATTCCTGCACTGCACGCCCTAAAAATTCTTTTCAAATTTAGTAGCATCTACTTCAACTTTGAAGAAAGGAATCAAGGCCAATTTGCTTTTGATAACATTAAGTTTTTCAGTACTGCATCAACTCAACCACATGGGAGTTTGAGTTGATGCAGTACTCTTCAATTAATGGAATGGACCACAATTTGGGAATTGATGGTAAAGTTAGAAATGGGATCATTTTCATTTAATTTTTTACATGCTTGATCCATTGACATACAACTTCCCGTGACTTCAAAGACTGAATATTAGACTTTCTAGCTTTCACATTCGAGCTATGGAGATTATTAATAAGCATCCCGAACAAGCAGGGCACCCCATCCCACGTATGGATATCTCAATTTTCTTATTTCTTCTGTTTCTCCTGCAAACTCCTCTAAATTCATCTGCAACATTTCAAGTTCTTGAAGAAGGTTCATCATTATCTGTGGATAATTCAAACGACAATTTGGTTTCAGAAAATGGTGTTTACTCTGCGGGGTTTTTCAACGTTGGCGACAATGCTTTCTGCTTTGCCGTATGGTTCATCAATTCCTCGCGTCCCGTTGCGGCTTGGATGGCTAACCGCGATAAACCAGTTAATGGAAAAGGCTCAAAGCTTTCACTTTTGAGAAACGGGGATCTTTTCTTAACTGATGCAGGTGGAATCCCCATTTGGAACTCCAAAACCAATTCAACTTCTCCGGTTAATCTTGTGCTTTTAGACACTGGCAATCTTGTGCTCCGGAATTCGGAGACTGTTACCCTCTGGCAGAGCTTTGATTCACCAACAGATACTCTTCTTCCTGAGCAACCACTCACCAAAGACACACAACTTGTCTCTTCAAGAAGCGAAGGAAACTTTTCTTCGGGCTTTTACAAGTTGTATTTTGACAATGACAATGTTCTCCGTCTTCTTTATAATGGTCCTGAGATATCCAGTGTGTATTGGCCAGACCCAGAGCTGATAACCTGGAACGCAGGCAGGACAACATACAACAACAGTCGAATAGCAATATTCAACAATCTAGGCAGCTTCGAATCATCAGATGAACTTTCTTTCAAGGCAGCTGATTCTGGCATGGGACCCCAAAGAAGCCTGAAACTTGATTTTGATGGAAATGTTCGAATGTACACCCTACAAGAGGCAACTGGGACTTGGAGTGTTTCTTGGCAAGCCATTTCTCAACCATGCATGATCCATGGCATCTGTGGACCAAACAGTCTTTGCAGTTATTCTCCTGAATCTGGTCGGATATGCTCTTGCTTACCTGGATTCAAAATTAAAAACCCCACAGACTGGTCTCATGGTTGCCAACCTGAATCGCAGATCTATTGCAACCATACGGAGGTCGGTTTCCTCCCTCTCTCACATGTTGATTTTTATGGCTATGATATTCGATATATTCCAAATTGAAGATTGTAAAGACGAATGCTTGCAATCGTGTGACTGCAAGGGCTTCATGCTCCGGTTTGGAAACGGTGTGTACAACTGTTATCCCAAATTTCTCTTGGTTAATGGACACCGTTAGCAGAATTTTGAAGGAGTCACGTACGTCAAACGGGCTAAAGCTAGAATTTCAATATCAAACAATGACACATCCAAGAAAACGTATTTGATATGCCCAAGGGTACGTCTTACTGAGCTTGAAACAATGTACAAAAGACCCAAAGAAAATGAATCATTGAGTTTGTTGATCTGGTTCGCCTGTGGTGTTGGGGGAGTGGAAATAACCTGCATCTTTTTGGTGTGGTGTTTCCTGCGTGGAGGTGATGGAGATTTGAATGCAACCATTCAAGGATATATTATCGCTGCAACTGGATTTAGAAAATTTTCTTACATTGAGCTTAAAAAGGCCACACTGAACTTCAGTGAAGAGATTGGAAGAGGTGCAGCAGGTACTGTGTACAAAGGGACCTTGTCTGATGGACGAGTCGCAGCAATCAAGCGACTCAATGAAGCAAACCAAGGAGAAGCTGAATTTCTAGCAGAAGTAAGTACCATAGGGAAGCTTAATCACATGAATTTGATAGAGATGTGGGGATATTGTGCAGAGGGAAAGCACAGGCTTTTGGTTTACGAGTATATGAAGCATGGATCTTTAGCAGAAAATCTTTCCTCCAACGCACTTAAATGGGAGAAACGGTTCGAAATTGCAGTGGGCGCTGCGAAAGGTTTGTCATATTTGCATGAAGAATGCCTAGAGTGGATCCTACACTGTGACATAAAGCCGCAGAACATTCTGCTAGACTCCGATTACCAACCGAAGGTGGCAGATTTTGGTTTGTCTAAGCTGTTGAATAGGACTGGGCTCAACAACTCAAGCTTTTCAAGAATAAGAGGAACCAGAGGTTACATGGCTCCTGAGTGGGTATATAACCTTACCATAACCTCAAAAGTTGATGTTTACAGCTATGGGATAGTTGTTTTGGAGATAGTAACCAGAAAGAGTGCAACAGGTATGCCAACCTTTGACAATGGAGAGGTGACAGGTGATGGAAGATTGGTTAAATGGGTGAGGGAGAAGATGAATTCGACTAGTGCTGGAGAATCTTGGATTGAAGAAATTGTAGACCCCTTGTTGGGGTGTGATTACAACACAAAAAAGATGGAGCGTCTGGTTAGAGTGGCTTTGAATTGTTTGGAAGAAGACAAAGATGCAAGACCTACCATGAGTCAGGTGGTGGAGATGCTTGTGCGTAGTGAGGATGAGTAATAAGCTGTTTGTTACCCAATTATGAAGTCCCCAATATTATCGCAACTTTTCTCCAAGGTTTCTGGTTTCCGTATCCCACCAAGCTTATGATGTTTCAGAATTAATGAATATATATTATCGTATACGTACCCTGTGGCAAATCAAAGGTATTTGTACAATAAAATTTTTAAATAAAGATTGGTTCCGATTCTGGGTTTAATTGTGTGGCATTATAAAGCTTTTCGCTCAATAAACTTTTCAAGGACAGCTACTTGGATTTTCCTCCTATGATATTACTTATATACATACCATTGAGCAGAAAGATATAATCATGCTTAAGCTTATCAACTTGTTTCTGAAGACATGCAACAGAAGTTATCAAGTTTCTAAGCTTTCTAGCCAAAAATAATAAAGGAGATACAAAAGGCAAGAAAATATCTACCAACAACAGTTACTTCCACATGTTACCTAAGCTTAGTCATCTTCCTTTCCGTTGGTACTCGTTTCAACATCTTCCGCAATGTGGTAAGTTGAAAGGAACAAGGAACTCTGAAAAAATAACTGACCTGTCCACCAGCATGAGAAAATGACAAATAGTAATCTTCTGGGAAAAGGAAAAGAGAAAATTATTGATGATTACAAATAAATCCAAACTATTTTCCAAAAAATTCCTCCCAGAGATGTAGTAGAAGTCTATATTTTTCACTCCAAGAATTGCTAAAGTTTTTCTCAAAGAAGTGCAACATTTTTGATTTACAAAACATGACACCAGTAGGATGTTTGTAAAATTTGTAAAGCTTAGTTGAACTAACTTTTCTGCACCAACCCAGCCACATAAGGTACAGTCACCAGCTTCCAAATTCATTATTACTCCAGTGATGCAAAAGTTTTTACAGATATCCACACGCATTGAAGACCATCCTAAAGTTCAAAGTGAATATAAGCAATCCAACTCTTTCAGCAATAGCCACCATCCAGTAGTTATACATCATATACATAATATAGAGTATATCTTGTCATCAGAAACTGACTCTAGTTCAAAGATAAAATTATAATTGCCTAGAAACAAAAAAAGAAAGGATTTAAAAACAACCAATGCAGTGAATAAAAACACAGCTTCTGCCAAGATTTAAAATTTAATCATAAAATGATAAAGAGCTCATACTCGAGGAAGTCCAGTAACATTTGCTGCAACTTTGTCGATGTTTCCTCTTCAATTTTTGCATGGACCAATAACTCTGGCAATTTAACTACAAATGACAGATTACAGTAAACTAACAAAAGCTAATTAAGATCGTTAGAACTTTTATATGACAAAGACGCAATAAATCATCTATCCCAAAAAGAAGTACATGAAGACCAAAAACTAAAATGTAGATCTTTAAGTCAAAAATTCTTTGACGAGTTAAAAAATGAAATAACAACAACACTATCATTGCTTTATATAAGTGAACACATGAAGTGGTATATGTTTCTCAACACATTGACTTTATCTATCAAGGACAAGCTTACCAAAGAGGCGTAATAGATGCTCAGCACCATATATAGTTGAGGGAGCAACCATAACTGCCATGGTGTCTTCATATTGTTGGCGCTCACTTTTGTACAGAAGCATTATTGGCAAAGCTTTGTCAAAGAAAGAACGTAATCCTTTTATCATTTCCCTAGTTGAATCAGCTATCCTATACAGAGGAAAGGTTTAATTTTCACTTATGTATCGGAATTGCTGATTAGAAAGAAAACTGCTCTGCAAAACCAGCTAAGCCTTAACCATAACAATTAAGGAGATCGAAAGGACACAAATAGTCAGATATTGAACTTACAACCCATCCTTCTCCAACCTATAATGACGATATTCCTCCAAATTGTCATCCACAGTCAGGGTGCATGGAAGTTTAACAAGCTGCAAGAAAGGTCATATAATCAAATACCTACCATGTTATGCATGACACTGAAAGATAATGATGAATGTTAGATACAGGTATACCGTATAATTATTAAAAAAAAAAAAAAAAAAAAACAAAACTAGTTCAACTTAGTTGCTCAAGTCTATTTTAACAGGTGAAGGCAGCAAATGAATGACATTACTATGTACACATATATTGACAACATAATTAACCAATGCCATCTAATAATCGAAATGGTAGTTAAATTAAGTCATTTATCTTTGGTAGCAGCAGCTGGTAGACCATCCAACAACAGTAACTTACATCAAATCCAAAGGGGAATAAATCTCGCCAGAAAATGCACCAATGCATTCCTACCATTGCACTATACTCAGTGTAATTAAATGCCCAGAAAATATAAGAACAGTTTAAGAAATCAGTAGGCTTTATATGCCATGGGTTCAAAAAATTAAAGCAAATTAGTTGTCATACCAAAAATTACAAATTAAAAAAATAAGTAAAAAAAATGAAGAGTAGACATACATGAAGGAGAAACAGCAAAAGGCTCAAAAGAACAAGAAAATCTATCCAAGTACTATAGAACCTTTAGTCTAGAATGCACATCTTCTATTATCACATATAACAACGTATTATGACAGGAAAAGAATATAACTACCTTGCCCAGATGTGTAATTAATCCACAATCATCAACTAGTTGCTTCTGTAGAGTTGGCGGAATTTGGAGGTTCACAAAATTTTCCATTGGTATGTGGCCCTTTTCCTACCAATTGAAAAGCCATGGACTTAGGAAGTAGATACAAAAGCGATTGATGGACAACATTAAGCTGACTGGAACGAAAATTAAATTAACTTCCGTCAACTGAATGAATTTTCAGTTGAACGGATCCGTAGAAATTAGGTATGCATGCATCAGCATAATGAAAGTCAATTAGGCAGATGTAAACCATAGCAGACCTTATCAAGATAGTCATTCTTTCGTTTCTTGCCCCTTGCAACTGCATATAGGCAGAACAGCTTAAAGAAATCTAATTTCAAGAGTCTCCAAGGAACTCAAAAGAGATGATGAGAAAAGAAGTGAAGAGTATTCTCAACATTATGCATTTCAAGTCATGACGTTCATTGTAGCTAAAAGTATAAATTTGCATAGTTAAATGGTTTGGCTATAAATGCAATGTTTTGTAGCTTATCGTAGGCTCGTAGCTAGAAGTGGCGTAGCTAAAAGTTAGCCATATAACTTTTTGCCTATGTAACTAACAGTTTATATTTTTTGCCATGGATGAGATTAATATATAACTAAAAACTTAAATATTTTTGCCATAACAATAATAAGCTTGTAGTAAAAGCTTTGCCTTCATAGCCATGGAGAATAGTCAATATAGCTATGTTTGCATTTTAGCTATACAACTATAAATTTATAACTAAAACTTGAAAATTCTTGCTACAAGAATAATATCCATGGCAAGTATATTAACATTTTTAAATTCGTAACTAAAAAAAAAAAAAAAAAAAATCATTTGCCACATATATAGTGTATTCGTAGTTAAATATTAAATTATTTGCTATAGATATATAGAAATCGTATCTATATATCAAAAGATATTGCTATAAATATAAGGTGTTAATAGCTAAATATTGAAATTACTTTTTATGAATATTTTTTACTTGCAGCCAAATATTATAATTATTTATTATGAATATAGTGTGTTAATAGCTATAAATTGAAATTACTTTGTATGAATACTTTTAATTTGTTGCTAAATATTATAATTATTTGTAGGCATGGCAATGGGACGGGACGGGACAGGACAGGGATCTCATTCACCGTACCCATCCCCATCCCCACCCTCAAAATCATTCTCCACCCCCACCCAATCCCCATTACGGGGATGACAAGAATTCCCCTTTCCCGCCCCAAAGGAGAATGTTGGAAACCCGTCCCCGCTCCGTTAATTTTATATAAACATAAATTAATTTGAGCATTACCAAACACAATAGTTAATTCTCGTCCACATGACAAACACTTAAATTAATCGTTTAAACATAATTAATTATACATAAATATGGGTCAGGGTTTATTCTTGTTAAATTGTTTAGAGTGAGAGAAATTAGGAAAATATGGGTTTATATAGATAGGATAATTATATAATTAGGTGAAATACAGGGATACTAGTCAAAAGTAAATATATATATACATTTTTTTAATTTTATATATTATATACGGGGCGAGCCGAGAGAAAGGCATCACCCACCCCCGCCCCATCCCCGAAGACGGGAATTAAAACACCCCCCACCCCTGCCCCTATCTCCGAAAAAACCGGGGCTTCCCCCCCCCCATATAGGGCAGGGCGGGACGGGTCCCCGAAATCCTGGGGAACATTGCCATGCCTAATTATTTGCAATGGAACAAATAATTTATATCAAGAATTTAGAATTTATTGTTTTGATTAAAATCAATTGCAACAAATATTGCGATAATTAACAAATTTAATGTCAATTAAAAATTTATAGCAATATTTTTATATTAAATAGATAATATGATGTCATAAGAAAAATTCTAATATAAAAAATAAAACATTGATAAAGTCATTTTCTACTAAATAATTGTTTCCTCATAAAATCTTTCATAATTTAAAATGTTACCAACTAATTTTTTTACAAAATATGAATGCTTCAATGTCATAATAACCTTTCCTAACCATTTAAGAATTTCCAGCAACCTGCAATATCAAATTTGAAAAAAATAATAATATTAATCAGATAGACTAATTTAATCACTGTATCACTTTATGATTAATGTAAAAAAAAAAAAAAAAAAATTTTTATAGTAATATATGCAGTTTTCAAAATAACTTACGATTTATCCTAGAGGCAAAAGGCAGTATGCTACTCAACTACAAAATCTAACATTAATGTTCTGATTAGTCCATGATAACAGAAGTATACCAAGCTAAGCAACGAAAAAGCCAACAATATTTAACCCTGTACAAGTGCAAGCCACACAATGAGAAAAGAAAATCCATACAATTAATGCAGATGATCACAACCCTGGTCAACCAAAAAGGCATCAATAGGAAGGCAACAATCATCAGATACTCACATGCTCACTTCTCTGGTTACCACTTTGTCTGAGCCCTTAATATTATCAAATGAAGGAAGACAGCCAAGCAATGTCTGTTCCACACGATTCATATCAATTTTGCCAGCTCCACATTCTTGAATGCCTTCACTCTGTATCTGGGTACTTGGCTGTGATGATACAGGACCTTGACCATTATTACATACAACTGGTCCCTTACCAAGCATCACAAATCCTTTACTTTTGCTACCTCAAACATAATGATTATATATAACTTGACCTAGCATATTTGCTGACACAGATTGTTCAGTTGAATTATACTCTTGAGACCGGCATTGGTCCAAAACCCTCCCAACAACTGCAATATTTGATTTGCAGAACTGAATAACATAAAATACAGCAGGAAAAAAAATTAAACAATGCATCTAACAATGATATAAAAATTAAACCTACCAGAAGAAAGAGAATGATTCATATTGGCCCCAGAAAAAGCATCTAATCCTTTAAAGTTTGTCACTATATTTTCCACAAAATGCGAAGGCCTTAAACCTGCCAAACATATTACAACATTACAATTACTAGTGCTTATTTTCTTTTTGAATTGTATTTCAATCGTATCCAAGGATTTGATTAAGATCACAAATAAACAACAGTACCTGCTTTGCGACATTCAGATTTACATAGAGGGCACTCTGAACCAAACTGCGCTAATCTGGGTATACACGAACTGCAGGGAATTCATTAAAGATAATTAAAAAATACAACACTTATGTTTCCCATAAAAAATCTAGAATAAAAATAATTTCATAGGAAGATTAAAAAAAGCTTATTAATGTTTTATCCAAATGGCGGAAATTCTTACCCGGGCCAACCTGAAAGCTGGGAATACCTCACTCGTGATAATCCCACCACACCATGGAACAAAAACAGTTTTACATTCTATTCCATCAAATTAAATTCAACAATTACAAAAATTTGACCTTTCATGTGAAAAACTGTTGCCTTTTCTATTGTACTATCGACTCATAAACACAATAACAACACCGAAACATAAATTTCAAACTAATTCCGCAACTCTCCTTTTTCAACCAAACATAGATGATTAAACTAAACTCAAGCCAAACCCCATACCACATAAAATCATACGATGATCAAACAAAACAAAAACCTAAATTAAAAGCAAACCCAGTTCATAAAATACCTACCCTTCTCGTTCTCCACTTGGATCCTTCGAAGAAGCGTGGTCCCACAATCACGTGAATTTCACCTGATGATGAAGAATTAGAGGCCTTGGTTTGCAAGATTCGATTTTGAACAGAAAAAATCGGGAATTTAGGCGAAGCCATTGGGGGTTTGGGTTTAGTGTAGATAAATCTTCGGGTTTGAAGAGTTAAAGGGTTACAAAAATAGGATTTTGAGGCGAAAGGTGAGGCCTTTGTGAGGTAAAGAGACAAGGGTGTGTGTGTGAATCGTGGGGCTATAAGAGACTTCATGCTTGAAATAGTTAACATGTGGGTTGTGAGAGGGAGAAAGAAGGAGAAGGGTGTAGGGTTTTGCTTGCTAAGAAAAGAGATTAAAAGTTGGCATGCTTGGGCTTGGCTAAATTTAGGGTTTAAGGGTGAGAGTTTGAGAAAGAGGAGCAAAGAAGTGGCAGAGGTTTAAGGATGAGGGAAAGGCTTCAATCAAGGAAATTAAAGAGAAATATAATTTATTTTTCTATTTTTGCGAAAACAATTGTAATAAATTCCATATAACACATTTATAGATTTTAAAAATATTTAATTTAAAATGTAAAATACTTTTCATTTCATAAATCATGTCAAATGAAGAAAAAAAACTAAATTTATTTATAGTTTTAGACACATAAATTTAATATATATATATATTAGAATGAATATAAGCTAGTAAATAAAATAATTGAATGAAATACTAAGAATTATGTCAATATTGAATTAAAGTAATGTTAATATGAATATGCACAAAGATGGTTATTATTAATTATTAGAAAATAGTGAATATACTAAAATTTCGAATTTATTCCTATTAATTGGCATCATAAATTAGTTAGTGCTAGCTAAATGCGTAAAAAATTACTACAAATAAAAGCATTTATTTGTTGAACTTATTATTATTATTATTATTTTTTTATAACTAAGGTGTCTATGCCAATTTATGCATACGTCGACTATTCTTTAGGATGAGGTATCCTACAATAACCCATCGTTGCGACTCCCTAGATAAATTATGAAAAAATGTGCTACTTTTATGCCCAACAAGGAATTGAACTTGAGACTGTGGATTGGACCATTTGCATTCACTTGGTTTGCCATATTATTATTTTTATGTATTGATGATCATGATTACCAAACAAGAATTGTCAAACTGACATATAATTTCATTGCTAATAATATAAGAATAATCACTTCTTTCAATATTAGTGGTTAAAACAAGAACTTGTAATAATATTTCAGTGGTATTTTATAGTTTTCTCATCGATCTTTTAGGTTTAAATAAAATTAACCATAATATGAAATGAAGCATGACATGAAAACTAGAAAGAGTTTTACACTTTTGAACATTATTAAAAACAATTAAGAATTAAATAACAACCGATTAAGTATGGTATTTAATACTATATTATTAACTCCAAATTATTAGCTCGTTGAAGAGTTTTTTTTTTTTTTTTTTTTAAATTAGCTATTGGTTGAAAGCTTCAATTTATTTTTAACCTTAGTGCTATGATTAACACTATGTTTGACTATAATTATTTAATTCATAAGTAATAAAAATATAATTACTTACAAAATAAATTAGAATATCTATATTCTATAGCTACATATTATAAAGATTGTATCAGATTAAGTTTCACATTCTTTATTAGCTACAAATTCAAATAATTTATAGCTAATACATACATAATAGCTATATATTTAAACTAGTAGCTAATAATGATACTATAAAACTGTTATTACTATGAAAATAAAATTTGTATAGCTAAATACTTTAATTAGCTACAAATTTTAATATTTTGTAGCTAATGCACAAATAATAACTATATAGGTAAACTTAGCAGTAGATCCATAAATTTTTGCTTGGGTGGGCAAAAGTATTAATGAATAATTCATTAATACTTTTGCCCATTAATATTTTTATTAGGGTGGGCCAAAATATATAAATTATACATATTAATATTTAAAAAAAAAAATTGAGGGCCAAAAAGTGGCTGGATCTGCCCCTGGGTAAACTCGTAGCTAATAATGATCCTATATGTCATGTAAACAAAATGTTTATAGCTAAATACATTAAGTAGCTATAATGTTTTACCATAGCTAATATATTATAGCTAAATGAAAGTTATTGCTATGATTTTAAATAAGTTAAAGCAAGAGATGAATATTAGCTTTGAAGTAGGAAGTCTTATCACTAAAATAGTTTCAATCAGCTATAAAAATTGACTTTTGTAACTACAAATATATATTTGCTATAGTTTTTCTTTTTGAAGCTAAATTTTGTAGCTATATGTGTATATTGTTGTAGTGTAATTAAATGTCTGGAATTGAACACAATGGGCTGTGTATATAGACGGAAGCTATCAGGAATGTTGTGGTGAAGCGTATGGGTGTTAGGAAGATCGATTAGAGAGAAACACACTAGTCAATTAATTGATCATCAAACTATAACACTTCAAAAAAACTTGTTAGAACCAGGATAGTGACTACCAACTTCAAGGCGTGTATCAATGCCACTTTCCTAAAGGAAATTTCACTCCTTTATAGTGCAAATAAGATCAATGAATTTCATTAGAATACAATGAAGAACCTACTTGTGTTATGCACAAAACAGAAGCAGACTTGAGAGAGTTTTGGTTATACTAGAATAATTTGTTGTGTACTTTTACAGAAAATTTTACTTCTTATATAGGATTGTTGGTACTTTTTAAAGAGAATGTACCTTTTGGAAAACCCTTTAAGATATGGACACAACATTTTGAAGGTACATGATCTTTTGAAAATACATGACCTTTTAACAATAGACATATCCAATTAGGAAAAATGTCTCACAGTCCCCCGCCATTTTTTCTAATTTGATAATAGATACTGGATCCAACAACAATTCTATAAGTAATATGCATAAATAATGGTATTTTGCAATTTGAACCATTACATAGTGAAAGTTTATTACAACAAATTTGAATAATATGGTAGACAAGCTTTGAACCATACATTCTTTTTGACAAGTTATATAAATGTTCACACATATGACTTTGATACCAAAACATCTCAATCGTGGTTGACACGTAAAAGGCCATGTGTTCTTATCATTCGTGAGAGATTTTAGAGCCAAGCCTTTAAGCTCCTAGAAGTGGCATCACTTCACTCTCATATAGGTAGACTCTAGCAAATATGCCCCCTGCTATTTTAGCACTTTGATGAAAAATCATCAATAGGTCTATTGAGAGTAAATACTCAACCTTCATTTTAAGACTATAGGAACCAAGTTCTATTTTTTGCTTTGGGATGTTAGAAAAAATTTATAGTACTTCTAACCACTCTAATAATGTACTTTGACTCATTGAACTCAAGATTTGACGTTGTATCAAGCGTTAAGTTGAGTTTCCATTATTGGTGATTATATTCAATAGGCTTGAGACCCATCCCCTTTGATGTTTTATTTATCAAGTCTCTTGCTAATCCCTCTGTTAAAGGATCGACTAGATTCAGACTTGATTTGACATAGTTAATTGTGATTACTCCATTTGAGATTAAATCTCTTACATAACTATATCTAAGTGCAATGTGTCTTGACTTTCCATTATATACATGGTTATAAGCTCTTGACAAAGTAGCTTCATTATCACAAGATTAAGTATAGGTGTTAGTAAATGTGTTTAATATTTGTGTGAAGGCTTAATGCAAATTGGTATACGAAACACAAAGTCTTCGTCTGTCCATCTCCTTAATTCGTTTTCTTTGCTAACTCCGTTTCTGGTTTAAGAAGATTGTTGTATTGAGCTCCTATTTTTCATTGTTGTCTGCAGGGGTTTGATGCTCCAATTTAACAATTTGGTATGTTAATGTTCACCTCGTTGTCCAACAAGCAAGACAAATTGTTTTCTTCTTTTAGAATATAATTATGGAAGTACAACATTCTCGCATTAAAACACATGAACAAACTATTTGCTTGTACAAGTACCCGACCCTGAAGGGATTATGCAAAGTTAGATTCTGAAAGAGCATACTTTACACAAACTTAGGAGATGCTTCTTAACTATTCAAAGAAATTCGGTTGATCATTAAATTAAACGTGTTTGGTAGATTTTATTTGAAGGCGCAGACTAATGTATAAACATGCATGCCGTGCTTTGTTTAAATCATAAAGAAAGTACAAGCATTCAATTTTTCCTTGCTTCTATCATTACCCCAGCACATACAATGAGCCTCTAAAATATTAATGGGTGCGTTTGGCTCCCTATTTTTATCCATATTCCCAATCCTATTCTCCAAATAATGTTTGGCACACTATTCCAGAAATATTACTATATTTTTTAATTACTTTTAGACCCCATAAGGTTATTAATTTCACTAAATGCCCCCTGAATTTTTTTTTTTAAAAATTAACAAAAACCCTCCCATCAACCCAACTTGTCAGATTCCGGCAACCACCGTCGGTGATAGCCGGAATCTGTACAACGGCCTAAATTCCGACCATAAATGGCCAGAATTACACCGATCTGGCCGTCAGCGACGGCCAAAGAAATGGCCGTCATTGACCATCAACGACGGCCAAGAAACGACGGCCAAATCTTTGGCAGTCATTTTGGCCTTTCTGGCCGTCGACGGCCATAACAGGCCCTTAGATCTGGCCTTTTCCGGCCAGATCCGTGGTGGATTTGGCCGGAAAAGGCCATAATGATGCGTTACGGCACAGATCCGATCGGTCTGTGCCGTAACGAAATTTTCCGGCCAGATTCCGGCGGTGGCCGCCAGAATCTGGCATTGCAGGTGGTGGGGGTGTTTTTGTCATTTTATATAGTAGGGTCTTTAATTAAATTAGTAAACCTAAGGGCTTTTTCAGAAATTTTTCAAATTTACCTCGTAATACTCCCCTATCCAACAATCCAATACTATCCTCAAAATCTTATTCAAAATACTACACCAAACGCACCCAATGTTCTTTATTGGGCTGGCCGCTGGCGGTTCATATGGGCAGGTCTTAAGTGACAAATTTTCAGTTCCTTATATTATCCTCCTTTTAACGTGGAATGCCTGAAACTGAGATAATTATGCATTTCTCTTCCCAATTCGCACAAAAACAGACGCCCAAAATTTGTCCCAAGTATGTTTATTAATTCATTCACTTTCAGTCAATATGAATGGTAGAATTCAATGGCTACGTATAAGAGCACCAGATTAATTATATTTACTATATATATCTACAGAGATTTACGATATTAGTTAGGTCAATATGCGTCAATATAAAATTTTCTAATCTGGTATGACAATACAATGCCATTGGCGGCACGTCATATTATAGACAACTATAATACAACCCAAATGTAAGAGAATGTATATGAGGGTGCCCGAGAAAGTGACCGTATTAAAGATAAAAAAATCCCTGCACTACACGCCTTAAAAATTCTCTTCAAATTGTTGAAAAATGGCT